ACTTTAAACTAAATTGACAGCTTGATATTTTCTTGGACCCCTTATGTGAAATTTAGCTGCAAATCCAAGTGAGGACATCTTGTGGTTATAATCTCTCAGAAATGTGTTTATTCTTTCTTCAATTCTGCTCAGTGTCAAGGAAATTTTCCTTAGAGACCTCTGTGGGTAGGGATGGGTTAGCTTTATTGCTCGTTCAACCTTACGCTGAGGGAGTAACACTTTGGGAATCCCAGATTAACAGAGAAGAGTGTCTTAGTAGATTCCTTACCTAAAACAAGTCTTAGGCTTTGCCTTCCATCTCCCTCACACCAAAGATCATCTTTGACTGGCCACTGTCATCTGGGCAGAATGAGTGTAAACTCAGTTTACCATTCAGGACTGCTTCTTCCCCTTCAATTTTGCCCTAGTAAATCTTTCTATCTTGTCAGCTCTTGGTTCCTTTATGACGTTTTCATATTTTCTCCTGCAGCATTAGGATTTCTTGGCCAGAGGATTGCTGTAATCTGACCCACTAAGTTCCCAACATTCTGACCAGAGTCTTTAAAAATGAAAGATTATGCTACTTCATAGCTCAACACCCTCCTGTGGTTTTCCATATCACTCAGAGTCTAATCCAGTCTCTAGATTGTCCCACAGTCCCGGATGACCTGACTTTCCACTGCCTCTCACACCTCAAGGTCTGTCACCTCTCCCACTTAAGCCACATTGCTCTGTCCTCAACAAAGTACCTAGATTGGGTGTGAAATGTATTTTTTGGCTGAATAAAAGAGATCCTGCATATCTGTAAGAAAATTGCAGTCCAATAGGGAAAAGTTAAGTTGAAAGTGCATATAATCTATCACCCAGAAATTCTTGCTCTATGACCTAGAGAAATCATCACCAATGTGCTCTAGGAGACATGTATAAGAATATTCAGAGGACCATTGTTTAAAGTTATGTAAAAGTGGGAAGAACCTAACCGAACCTCCAAGAGAGAATAGTTACATACACTGTATTTCACTCAGAAAGTGGAATTCTAGAGGTAAGTTAAAAAGAATGAACTATGTCTGTAGTTATCAACGTATAAAATGCCCCAATATAATGTTGAATGAAAAAGGTTGCAAATGAATATGTACAATGTACAATTATATACAACTAAGATCAAAAAAATTACATAGATTATTTGTGGATACACACATTTACAGTAAGAGTTCTTTAAAAATGGAAAAGAAGCACACATTAACTTTAGAACAGACATTTCTCCTAGAAAGGGAGAGAAAACAGTGGCTACAAGTGTGTTATTTTATTTTTTAAAGACAGAATGGTAGCAAATGTAGCAAAATATTAACAATGAATCTAGATGCTAGGTATAGGTCATATAAAAATTTTCCTGTATGTTTGAAGTAGTTGCTAATTGATGTTAAAAACTCACCACAATATCTTTGACTGTCACAGAAATCCCCCATATGCTCAATAAAATATTTGGTAATGTTAGTGAAATTGAATTTAAAATTTTAAGGTGAAATCACATACCAATTAAGCAATTATTAGCCAGAGCCCAAAAGGGGAAAACAGTATTTGGAAAATATAATAATGCCACCTGCAGGAAAAGAGCTACAAGCTTTTCAAAAAGATAATGATAAATGCTCAAAATCAGGTTGGTGGAATAATTAAACTGGCAGTGGGCTAGAAACATTATTTTCAACAGTTCCATCCACACCTTCTAAAACTGAAGTCAGTCCCACATTATCTACTTGATTTTGGAGGAAAAATTTAAAAAGACACCAGATTAATCTGGGTGATACCAGGACTAGGGGAGAATTGCTACCTAAGAATATTCATATGTTATAAGGAATTAAGAGTTTAGAAATAGCCAGAACTTCTTGAATAATTTGTGTATTACTTCATTGTTCCGATTTTATTTTTAATATTTCCTTAAATAATTTAGTTCCCAGCAGTATACTCAGAAGTGGTATAGTTAGTTATTCAGTGCTTGGGCTCTGAAGGCAGACTCTCTGGGTCCAAATCCTGGCTTTATTGATTACTAACTGTGTGACTTTGGGCCTTTCACTGTTGAATTATCTGACAGTCTAACTTGAAGTCCATCAGTATTTTTTCTCTGGCTATGTTTAAGATTTTCTCTTTGTTTTCTTCTTTCTCTCTAGTGATTCATTCTTGACAATTTCTTCAGTCTTCTTAGTTATTAATTATTTTATCAGCTGTATCTAATCTTCTATTAATCCCATTAATTTCTATTTGTAGCCATTTAATCTGGTCCTTTTCCAAATATGGTTGGACATTTTTAAGAGTCTTTGCCCTTTATTTATATTTTCAATCCCTTCCTTTATTTCTTAAAACAAAATAAATGTATTTTCTACTCTGTGCCTGATAATTCTAGTACCTGAAGCCTTTCCACTAGTTTCTGCCACTAGTCGAAACTTGCTGTCACTCATGGTGCCCTTCTTCCTCATGGGTGTAAGACTTTTCTGAATGTAAGCTTTATTTCTTAGACTTTAACTATGAGAATTATTTGCAGGCTGGGCTAAAGGTGGAGTCCTACAGGTAAGATCAATATTTGCTGATGTCTAAAACCCCATTAAACTAAAATTTCAGTTTGAGATGTTTTGGACCATGCAGGTTGTGTGCATTTGGGCCTCAATGCGTATGTGGGCTATCTTGTGATTAGGAGTTATCTGGAGACATTTTTGTTTTCCCTTTTGGTACAAAGTTCAAGTACCACAATTGCTTTTAGTCTCTAAGGATGGGGGTAGCGTTGTGGTTATTTCCAGGTCACCTTTTATAATGGAGGTCTAGCTCTTTGGGATTTCAGATTAATTGGAGGAAGACCTTATATTAAACTCCTAACTTGGGAAGGTTCTGGGCTTTGTCTTTATTCTCTTTATTCTACCAAAGCCAGGAAAACCTAAATTCAGATTGCCCGGGTAACAAATGCCCTCAAGGCAAAAGCCACCTTCCCATTCCTTTTACCTCTTTTAGTTTCCACTTTCACCTTGATTTTTGGCCTCTGGTTATACCTTACTAACTTACTCTTAAAATTATTTTTAGGAGCGCCTCGGGGGCTCATTGGTTGAGCATGACTTTTGATTTCTGCTCAGGTCATGATCTCAGGGGTCCCAGGATAGAGCCCTGAGGCAGGCTCCTCACTCAGCGGGGAGTTTGCTTGTCTCCCTTTCCCTGTGCCCCTCCCCCATCCCTCGCACACACACGCACAAAGTCTCTCAAATAAGTAAATAAATCTTTAAAAATGTTTTTACATTTTTTTAATTTTATCCAGTGTTTTTAGTTGTTTTCAGCTAGAGGATCAGTCATGTTGTCTTTTAGAGCTCCACGTCCTATTCATTCCTAATGCTATTAATAGGAACAGAACATTAAATATAACAGCCTGTCATTTGTATTTTTAACATTCACCGAGCAATTAGTAAGTACCAGACAGTGTTCTAGTGGTTGAAAAACAAAGTCCATACCCTCAAGGATTACATGCTAGGGAATAAATAAAAGTATCTTGTGGCTGTGAAGAAAAAGAAACATGGTAATGGGGTAGAGAGTGACAAGGTAAGTAGTAGTATTCTAAATGGAGTGGTCAAGGAAAACCTCTTGGATAAAGTGGTATTTGAGCAGCAACCTTAAGAAAGGGAGAGAAAACCATAAGTGGACTACTTGGGGTAGAACTCTCTGGGCAAAGGGAAGAAGTGCAAAGGCTCCAGTGCAGGAGTGTCCTTGGTGGGTCCAAAAAACAGTCAGGGCACCAGAGTTATGGAAGCAGAGTGACCAAGGGGAGGGAGGACGGTAGAAAATGAGGTCTAGTCCAACACGCAATAATCACCATATGCTGTAATAAATCTAGGAAAGATGGCATACGCTTTACATTCAACTAATCCAGGGGCTCTGGCTTTTCTGAAATGTTTTCAGATAAATGCTCCAGAAATTAAATTACTAATGAGTAATCAGATCAATTGTTTGTGTCTCACAAATTCTGCTTTAAATGCATAGGATGCAGTTATAAGATTCTTTAAACAAAATTATAACTTAGCTGAACAAATATATCTATAGAAAATTTAAAAATGACATCGTGTAGATATTTTCAATTTCTGGAGAGAAGTTTAATTACCGCAGGGCTGGTAGAAAACTGGACTCCAATTCCTAACACCTCATTAAGTTGTTATACAAACTACACTCATCCAGTTATTCAATGTATACTGTGAATCTACAGTTTCCTGTTAAGTAGGGATAGAGTCCCAAGGTTACAGAAGGATGAGGAGGAGATCCACTTTATATAAATTATTTTGGTCAATGAAAAATGGTTGTTACAGCAGTCCAGGAGGAAGGGGCTAGCATAGCCAATTATCTTCTCTAATCTTGTTAACAACCCTCTGAAGTAGGTACTATCACGCAGATTTTGCAAGGAAGGGGCATGGGGGCTCAGAGCAGAAGGGTTGGTGGAACCTAGTCCCACGTGTTCTGATTGCAGTGCCTAGCCTAGGTTCTGCGAGCAGAAGAGGAATCATCCCTGGGTATTCCTCCTAAAGAGTTAATATACTCCTCTATAAATCAACTTTACTCGGTAAGTCCTAACAAACGTTACTTTGGTTCTCTGGTTTAAGCCACCTCGACTCAATTACAGACAACTTGTTTTATTTTTCTTTTGGGAGTCAAACAAATTTAAATTTGAAAGACCTCGCCTGGCCAGGGAGGGGCCAGACTCGCTCATCAGCCCCAGCAGCATGGACGCAGCGCCAGGGTCTTCGGAAGCTGGTTGCGTCTACACAACATCTAATCCAAATCCCAAATAGCCCAAGACCAGAACGCGGCCTCAAGGTGTCACTGGGCCGGGATCGAACTTTTGCCTAGGCTTGGGCGAAGGCGATGGGAAACCAGGGACGGGGACCTGCATTTCCTGAGTTAAATGTTATTTATAGCCAGGGCCAGGGGAAGCCAAAGCCGACAACAGCGGCGGGGCAGCGCGGTGCCATCTCCAAGCAAGCAGGTCTCACACCGCTCACCTTCACAGTCGGCCCCTGGCCGTTCCCCGGCCTCCTGGCCCAGCGCCGGCCCCGGGTTAGAGACCCAAAGCCCGGCAAAAAAGGCCACCACTGCGGCTGGGCCCGTGCACCACATGCTGAGCCAGCTGCTCCAAACGCCTCGCCACCCGCGTCCACCGCCAGCCACGGTGCTACCGCCCGGGGCCGTTACAGGACGCCGAGGAGCCGAGCGAGTGGTCGGGGAAAAATCTGCCGGGAGTTGCTAGGCCAAATGACGCAATTCAATCATGAGTTTCCATTGGCTTTCAGGTAAGGACCTAGAAGGGGGCGGGACGAAGAAATCCCTTCCAGGCACTCCCCGACTGGCGCGTGCGCACTCTCGCACACGCGCTGCAGTGCCGGCAGGGCGGGGTGGGAGGACGCACTAAAGCTATTCGCCGGCAGTCCGAGAGGAAAGGCGAAACCTTCACGCTGATTGGTGGCGACGCGGGAGGCCGCGGCGGATGGACCGGTGGGCGGGCGGGAACGTGAAGTTTCCGCGGTGCCTGATGGGGCTGTTCCGAGGCCCGAAGCTCTTGCCACAGCGGGACCACTGGTTACTGCTGCCGCCTTCTCTGCCGCCTCATGGCGGCCATCGGAGTTCACCTTGGCTGCACATCAGCCTGTGTGGCCGTCTATAAGGTGAGAGACTGGGGGATCTGGGCTCCGGGCTGATGGCCCCCCAGTTCTCCGGGTGCGGGGCTAAGTCCTTTGGTCTCCTCTGGGATTGTGAACACGCTTGTCGCCGGCCTAGGAATGTCGTGCGGAAAGGCATTATTGCGGGGAAGTTTGGAGGCAAAGGGCCGGGCGGACCCAGCCTGGTCCTCCGCAGCTCCTCCGGAAAGCCTGCTGTGCTCGGACGGAGGGTCGTGACGACGCGGGCCGGCGGGGTCCGGGAACGTCCGGGCCGCAGGGAGCCTGGAGGGGGGCGGTCCTGGGGTCGTCAGGGCCTCTGGAGGCCCAGAGGGATCTCGGAGATGTCGTGGGCACTGGAGGCTCGGAGTCGGGCGGTCCCGGGGACGTCAGGGCAGCAGGAGGCCTGGAGGGTCTCGGGGACATCAGGGCCGCGGGAGGCCCGGAGAGGTCTCGAGGACCTCGTGGGCGCTGGACGCCCGAAGAGGGGCGGTCCGGGGGATGTCAGGGCAGCAGGAGGCCTGGGAGGTCTCGGGGACGTCAGAGCTACAGGAGGTCTGGAGGGGTCTCGAGGACCTCGTGGGCGCTGGACGCCGGGAGGGGGCGGTCCCCGGGAAGGGCAGGGCCGCTGGAGGCGGGGAGGTGGGCCGGAACGTCCCGACCCGGAGGTTTTTGAATGTTTGCCAGGAAAGGACCTGGTGGTCGAGATCTGGAACTGGAGTTGTTAATCCCGTGAAGCGCGTGAAGCGAGTTGGTGGTGCACGCTCTTACTGACTTGACCTTTCTTGAATGCAAGAGCTTAACAAGGAATTGTATGTAGTCTGCTCATCAGGAGGGAGGCGGAAGGAACAATAATAATGAACTCCCCTGATATTAGTCTTGCATTTAAATGTCAAGTGATTTGGAAGGAAAAACCAAAGGGATTTAATGCTACTTCATCATACGTAGAAAAAGGAAGAAAGAAAGATGTATTTGTCAGGGAAGAAAGAAAACTGGAAAGGGTGATGTAATAAGTCTTATCATTGTATACAGGAAGGTTTTTATGTTTGATCCAATTATTGACTAATGCAGAGCAGATTGAAAAAATGAGGCAGTTTGTGGATTGTTGACCTTATATAAAATCTAGGAAATTAATAATGGCAATTAAATCTGCAAGTTTAAAATACTGATGAAGTGGTTTTCTTACAGGTATGGCAAGGTAACACTGGCCCACATATGTCTGATGAGACTGTGTATCTGTGTGTGTGTTTGTGTGTGGCTACATATTTTTTTTTCTTTTTTTTTTTTTTCTCAAGAGACCTAATATAGTTGTGTATTTTTTTTCCAGGATGGCCGGGCTGATGTGGTTGCAAATGATGCAGGTGACAGAGTTACTCCAGCTGTTGTTGCTTACACAGAAAATGAAGAGGTACTATTCCCCTCATTTTTGTATTTTGAAATAAGTAAAATTACATGCATTGTAATATGCTGCTGTTTTTCAGGTTGTTGGATTGGCAGCAAAACAAAGTAGAATAAGAAATATTTCAAATACAGTAATGAAAGTAAAGCAGATCCTTGGCAGAAGGTATGGAATAAAATAATACTTTTACATATGGAAATAAAGTGTGTTCATACATTCTAAGCATAATGTGAAATGAAGCTAGGAAGATCAGTTTGGTCTTTTTGTTGTTGTTGCTTTTTATGATTGAATCATTTCAGAGATTATCCCAATAGGCTCTTTCTTTTGATGATTAGTGTTGTATCTTCTCAAGGATGGGATTCACTCAGATAATTTGTTTTTTGTTCAGAGGTCTGTTTTTATTGATAAATGCCAACATTCATATAGTTTGATAATGTTTCATTTGGGAGTGGTAATTTGGACTTTTCACCTTTTTATATGACAGAGGGAACTTGAAGATTTTGTGGGAATTTGAAGATTTTTCTGCACTGTAGTTGAATTTTGCAAAATCTGCTGCAATTGGTCATAATTTATATAGAAGCTATTGATTTTCTTCCTCAGGTCCTTTTGTGACACTTTCTGGGAACTAACTTTTCCAGTTGGCTTACAAATTTAATCATTAGAGAAACAGCTTAATTAACATCTTAAGTAAGAATCAGGTTAATCATCTGTTGTAACTTTAATTAAAAGATTAAAGAGGCTTCCTTCTCCAGACTTCTGTCTCCTCAAATTATAGATTACCATAATAATTAGAGGTTTTCATTTTCACTGAAGTAGTAATACTTGATACAGTGTTTTTAAATTTTCAAAGTGCTTTCACATCTATTATTTAATCCTCTCAAATCCCTAAAAGATTTGTAGGGCAGGTTTTATTCCTCCCCATTTGTAGATGAGCAGATTGAGGCACATAGAAGTTACGGAATTGCTCAGTTAGTTGGGGTGAGCTAGATAGGACTACAGTTCAGGACTTCTAACCTTTAGCCCCACGTTCTTCCCTTTTTGCTTTGTTCAGTTGAGAATTTAAGTATAAATGTCCCATGTTGATCTTAGGATTTGGGGATTATGGATTAAATCTAATATTTATTTCTTTTATACTTACATATATTTTTTATTATCCCTTACCTGTATTTAGTTAAACTGAACTTGATTTATTTTTTTTCCTTAGGGTATTTATGCACTAAGTCAAAAATGATAGTATTTTGGAGAGAATTTAAATTTTTATGATGATAAATATACTCCCCTATCCATTTATGTGTTAGCAAACTGAGTATTGAGCATGTTGAAAATAAATTAGTTGGTGTCAAAAATTTGCAAGTTTTAAGATCTCTAATAAAGCAGGGAGCTCTAGATGGGCTTTGAACTATATTCACTATAAGCGGCCAATAATAAAAGGTTTTTTCAGTTAAACTTTTTATTTTGGGATCAGTGTAAATTTACATACTGTTATAAGAAATAATACAGAGAGATCCAATATACTACTGGATTTACCACCTTCTCTGGATGGTAACATCTTGCGAAACTACAGTATCACAACCAGGATACTGACATTGATACAATCAAAATACAGAACATTGCCATAGATCTATCTCCTGGGAGCCTGTTTTATGTTGCTGTTTTAGGGCAGATGATCAGAGTGATGATATGGTTGTGTTCTGCCATATCATACAAAATCTTTGTATTATCAGGAACAACTTAAGCTTACTTTTCTGGCCCCAAAAGTTACCTTTTAACAAAGGGCAGTGGTGGCAGTCAGATGGTAATATGTAGCCACAGCAAGCTGCTGAGGCCAAGGCTGTTAAAGGATGAGCGCTCTTCAGACCTGCTGTTCCACCATGGTCCTGCTGACACTTCTCTAGAGTGAGCTGTCTCATGGCTTAGATATTCCCCCCTCAGTCTACTTACAAGACAATGGTGATTTTTACAGATACAGTTGTACCAGGTCTTGGCCTCAGAAGCACTCTTTTGTGGAGGAGCCAGTCCCCTTTTACTGAGCCAGTAAGGCCCTTTTGAGCCCTTGGTCCAGTACCTATCCTGGGCGAACTCTCATGGTTGGGCTTTCTTAGTCTTGGCATCCTACTCACAGGTAGCACCACTTAACTTGCTGCCACAATTATCCTTACACCCTCCCTGTAACTCTCATTCCCCTGTGGCCTTCCAGCCAGAAATGCGGTCCTTGGACCTGGCTTCTCAACAATTAGCCCCGAGAGGGAAGAATCGGCTGGCTCCTGGAAGTACACTGAGAGCACACAGAGCCTCCCCACACCTTCAGACTTGCACCTTGCTGCCCAGGAGCTTCCTGCAGCTAGCCTTCCTTCCCAGTCCACTATGGCCAGTTCCAATAGCAGTGCGGGCATCCGGTGGTCCAGACAGGAGACTCGAACTCTTCTCTCCATACTAGGCGAGGCAGAGTATATCCAGCGCCTCCAGACTGTGCATCATAATGCAGATGTCTATCAGGCTGTGTCTAAGCGAATGCAGCAGGAAGGCTTCCGCCGCACCGAACGTCAGTGCCGCTCCAAGTTTAAAGTTCTGAAGGCGTTATATTTAAAGGCGTATGTTGCCCATGCCACGAGTATGGGTGATCCACCACACTGTCCATTTTATGATACGTTGGATCAGCTTCTCCGAAATCAGGTAGTGACTGACCCAGACAACTTAATGGAGGATGCTGCTTGGGCCAAGCACTGTGATCAGAACTTAGTGGTCTCTGACACCCCAGGGGAAGGGGGAGCCAACATTCTCAGAGCAAACAGGACTCAGGCAGCACATCATCAGCCTGTCTCGAAAACAGTTAAGGAATCAGATGAGGATTGTCAACTGAGAATCAGTGACCAGATGCGAGAAACCAGTGACCTTGAGGACTCCTGGGATGAATCCTCGGGTGCAGGTAACTCCCAAGCATGTGAAGGACTGGGGTGCCAGAGTCACTTGGTTCTAAACAGCAGTATGTGTTTAGATGGTGTTCTCTTCAACATTGTCTCTGTTTCTGCCCCATGCCCTCTGTTTTCTGAGCCTGCTGCTAAGAAAGCGCTCCAGGTCTTCAAAAGCAATGACCCTAGGTATATAAGGTATTAGAACTTCTTAAATGTGGAAGACGTATTCTTTTTTTTTTTTAAGTTTTTTTTTTTTTTTTTTTTTTTCAG